AGCTTGTCGAGTCTCTTAAATTCGTTTTATTGAAATTCCAGAGTGTGGCGACAGTTCTCGATTGACTCGCGCCGCGAAATTGATTTTGAAACGCGGCTGTGTTGGCTCGAATTCCTCCGAGTCGCGATCTTTCTCTGCGGGGACGAAAAATCGCGTGCATACCATCCCGATACACACATGATCCACGAAGTAATAATAATCAAAGTTCCAACGAGCGAGCAATTTCGTCGGAAGCTTGGCGCTCGCTTGGCGCTTCGTGAGTTCACTGTCGAATGAACTCGCGTGGTCGAAACTCGCGTTCTCAATCTCCTTCTCTCTCTTTCTCTCTGTGTCTGATTTGCGTTTGTTTGTTGAAACAGGAGGCGTCGTCGCCGCACGCGAACGGGGAGCACTCGGACCCGCGCGAGAACGGCACCCTGGAGAAGCTGGGCGCACCAGGTCACGTTGGCGGACCGACATCCGGCGCGGGCTCGGCATCCGTAAAGGACAGGCCTCCGTCGCGCAGCGGCAGCTCCTCCGCCCGTAGTACACCGTCTCTGAAAAGTAAAGATGTAAGATCTCGCGGAGAGTAAGCTTATTCGGCGCTACGACCGGTCCAGTCGTGACTCCGTCGCGTCGCACTACGTCGAAATCCATCTCGGAATTCGCGGAATGTAACTTAAACAGTCGATCATCTCACCTCTCGCGCGGTACATGCAGCTGCCGGACCTGCCTCTACTCCAGACTACCTTCTCAGTCTGGATTATTTCGAATCCTGTGACGACCACAAGTGTCGTCAAAGAGTGCACTCTTTCCCGAGTCATTAAATTGCAGAGAGTTACTTGAAAGGGAATCAGTGAGATGCAGCCAAAAGAACTTGATACACAGAACGATCTCTGCGCGATCTCGATCTCGATCACACAGAGACTGCTCTGCGTTACTCCCGTAACCCGTCTGGCAACTGTAACGGCTACCGTAACGCGTCCGCGGCACCCGCGACGACGATGGACCGACCAAATTGTAGCCGAATTTCGCGTGATCGATCAAGACTTCGGAAGAGCACAGAACGCATCGTTCGTTCGATCGCGCTAGAAGCACAGCGGTCTTCGCCGCGTGTGATGGAAAATGGCAAATACGCAAAAGAAACATCGCGCGTTCTCGAGCGGCTGGCGTAATCAGCAAATCGCAATCGGTACGGTCAACGACTCCGACTTCAACTCTGGACAGTGAGTCCGGACGACGACGAGTGAGTCGGATATCGTATGATTGCGATACAAGTGTCCGCAAGAGTGGGTGCAAAAACACCGTGCGTTCGCCAGGTCGACAAGCCGGGTACACCTGTGGCGGCGGCGAGGGGCTCGCGCAGTTGTACGCCAACTATGGGCGGCATCCCTGGGCCCTTGGGATCGCGGGTCTATCATCCGCCATCGTCGCAGCAAACGCCACCGCAGGGTTATCAGGGCTTGCCATCCCGCGGCAATGAGCCGCCGCAGTCGCCCTCGCCATACAGCAACTTGCCATACGCGAGGCCCTCTATGGTGATTCATGAGCCCGTAACTCTTATTATCACCCTTCTCACACCTCACCGTCCTCCCGTCGCTTCCTCATCGGTCTCGATTTCGTGTTCCGTCCCGCCACGCATTTCATTGAGCATTGCTTACCGCGTTGTCCTACGAGTGCAATTACCATATCGCGCCCATAAAATCGATTTCGGAATCATTCACGCTTCTTTATCGCGAAGTCTCGTGTACAGAACTAGAAAGAATTCTCCACAAACTCGATCGAATTCGGCGCAATGACGCTTGCGCGTAACCGCGTTTTCCGCGCACGGAGAGAATTTTATTAATAAAAGTTATTAGAGAACTTATTGTCATCGAAGAGCATGTCTCGACATATTCTGCATTTATTATTCTTCCTTCTCGTACGTGCCAGTTATATTCTAAAAAGTTCGAGGCCTACAATAGAAAAATTTACTCTTTCTTAGTAAGATAAATTCTATCGACGGTCTATTTCTGCACTGCTAGAAAGCATAATAAAATTGAAGATCATTTACATAAAGAAAGCTATAAAACACATTCTTTCTGTGTAGACCATTTGTCGAAGCAAATTTGTTTGTGTAAGCAACGATCGTTTGTATATATGTGTATACACCTCCTTTGATCTCTCCTCATTGCGATACTGAGCGATGACCGTCTGACTCGCTCTCTTTCTCTCTCTCTTCCACAGCTCGGTTTCGACAGCCACATGAGGATATCCTCCAGTAACGGGCTGAGCAACGTGGCAGGCGGCAAACCGTACGTAGTCTTACAGTTTACGATGCACCCCGGCGGTCTCCTCACGGATCGTCTCAGATTAGTCTGAGATCGTTCGTGGATTGGCTTTGCCTCCACGGAACGTCTCTGACATAGACATACATACATATATACATACATACATACGTATATATACATATACATATACATATATATATATATATATATATATATATATATATATATATATATATATATATATATATATA